ATTTGAATAATTATAAATCTTACAAAATGTGAAATAACTGTTCGATTGTCTTCAAATTTCGCACATATCATTATTTTTAACAACACAAGATCTGGTATGAAGAACGGATAGAACATAACTCTCCTTTCGGTACCTCCCCCACAAAGGGGTCAAAATTTTGAATAATTATAACTCTCATAAAATGCGAAATATACATCCGATCCCTTTGAAACTCGGCACATCTCAATACTTCTATTAACACAAGATCTGGTGTGAACATGGAATATATCAGAACACTCCTTTTAAAAAATTAAAACGCTTATGAAATGAGAAATAAGCATCTGATTTTTTTCAAACTTCACTAATTCTAATATTTATACTAACAGAAGATCTGTTGTGAAGATGGTACATATCGGCCCACTCCTTCTGGTAGCTGTCCCACAAAGGGTCACAATCTTCAATATGTCTTGCGAACAAGTCAGCAATTCGCATAAAATTGGAAATCGATTTTTTTAAATGAAATAAAGTGGTGATTAATCTGTTTTTTTTTTTTTTTTTTGCAAAACTCTTGAACGAAACATTTTCCTGACCCAATTTTTTTCCTCAAACGATCCATATTTTATTGTTTCAATCGAATATATTTTCAGCATTGGCTGTTTTATTTATATAAGGTTTTTTTATTTAGGTGTGAAGCAGAAAAGTCTTACGCATGTTAAATCGGTTGGTTGGTTGGTTGGTCGTTCGATCGGCGTTTGGGGGTTGGTTGGTAGGTCTGATGTGTCTGGCAGGAAGAAGGCAAGCAGCTGATATAAGTTTAATTATCAAATTCTAATGTATACACTTGTTGCGTATGCTAAGTACATTCACAACATACAGGAGAGAGAGAGAGACGTTTTGGGAGAGGGTGGTGGTCTGTCTGCACAACTGCTGCTGGTGTTATCTCTGTTTTAGATTATTACTCTTTTTTTCTTGCATTTGCGTCAGGAGGCGAAAATGTGCGAACATTTGGGCGTTGAGTGCGTGTGCGTTTTGCAATTATGAAGTGGGTGCTTATTGGATGAGCAGCGTGTTCTTTTTGTTGCTATTCAATGTATTGGAAATATTACATTCCTTCATACCTGGCAACAAATTATATAAATAACTAATAATAACTAAAAATAGCTGCACAAATGTTAAAACCTTTTCACACATTTTTTTTTTTTTTTTGAGAAAAAATTAATATGTTTGAATTTTGTAATGTATTTTCAATTTTTATTTTTTTGCAATATTTTTTGTTGTTTTTTATTTATTTTTTTTTTGTACAAACAAAAATTTGTTTTGGGTCCCACTGTTTGTTGATCTCCATATGACAACATATTGCCACTTTTCTATATCTGGCCATTGCAAAATTGCGTTGGCCCCCCTTCAAATATGGCAAAATTCTATGACCGTTCTCAGCCAGTCAACCAGTCCGTCATTTAATTTTTTTTTCTGTTATGTTATGTTTTAATATAGAAGCTTTTATTTTGCTTTTCAGTCGGTATTTTATGTCGGCATGACACTTTTACAGTAGGCTTCCTTCTTTTTGGGTATTTTTTTTTGTGATATGTTTCCTAAGGTGATTTTGTGTGTAGGCCTACATTTCTTCTTCATTTACATTTGATTTTAATTTTGGTCAGGCGTTTAGACACGACTAGCCGCTGCTGGTTGGTTGTCGACGACAGGCCCCCTATTTATATGCGTTTCAATTTGGGTGCTTTTGGACTGGTCGCTCATATATATGATTCGATGGTATTTGATTTTTTTTTCCACATAGACTTTCTTTATTAGATTGGCAAATGCTGTAGTTTTGTTTTGTTGTTGTTGCTGCCGTTGCTTTTTGGTTATTTATATTATCTACAAATTTATATATGTATGTAAGTTGTATATATATAACATTTGCGTCAAAAAAACAATTTTTATAGGCTTTATTTTAACTTGTTCGCCGCCGCCGCCGACTTTTTGTCTTCTTCTTCTACTCGTGTTATATATATACGTATGTGTGAGTGTGTGTTTCTTTTCTTTATTTCGAAGTCTTTTGCTTTCTTTGGACTTTGTATTTGTATTATTGCTAAAATATGTTTTAATTTTTGTTATTGTTGTTGTAGTCGTTTCTGATTTGGTTTTCTGTGTGCTGATACATACAAGAGTATTTATGTTTTTTTTTTTCGTTTTTGTATTTGTTACTATGCGGAAGTTTTCTTAAGTGTGTCGACGACAAGCTCTTGACGCCAATACTAGGCCGCCTTACCATCATCGTTGTCGCCGTCGTCGTTGAATTCGAACTCCTCCTCTCTCTCTCTCTCCTCTCTGCTGGCAAAAGTCGTTAACACAGCCATGACTAGTGGTTATATTGTCAAACATGGTTATGTCTTATATTTGTTCTTTGCAACCGTTTTTTTTTTCTTCTTTGGTTGGATCATGAAGGGTGACATATTTGTTGTTGATTGGGAGGGGTGGCGCTGGGAGGTGGTTGGGGTTGATATATTCCAACCCAATAACTTTAACAGAAATTGGGATATTGTAGGATAATTTTCGTATTATATTTTTTGCCTAAGTAAAATTGAAATAAAACAAAAAATTAAAAAAAGAAAAAAATTAAAAAAAAAATAAAAAATTAAAAAAATATATAAAATTAAAAACTACAAAAATTAAAAATTTAAAAAAAAATAAAAAGTAAAAAAAAATAAAAAATTAAAATTAAAAAATAAAAAAATTAAAAATAAAAAATTAAAGAAATAAAAAATTAAAGAAATAAAAAATTAAAAAAATAAAAAAATTAAAAAATAAAAAATTAAAAAAAAATAAAAAAATATAGAAATAAAACAAAAATAAAAAACTAAAGATATATATATTTTTTATTCCTTGAAAATAAATAAAAATTACTTATTTTCCCTTTTCTACCCAACGTTTCGTTGGGACTTTTCAACATCTTCAGGCATAATTTTACTAATCTGGCAACTACAAGAATTACACATACATATAACAATTAGTTCCGTATTTGAAATTCTGCGTTTTATTTACAATCAGAAATATTTCACGGTGTAGAAAATGGTGTCGAACACTCTCCAGGCTCCGAAAAACTCATTTGAATTTGCGAAGTGCTTGCTCCCGGGGAAAAGAAAACAAAAAATCGAGCAAACTCAATTTTTCTATGTGGCTCGAATATGAGTGAGCACATTTTCCTCGTTTTGGAGCGGGAGTAAAATTCGTTCGAAATCGAGCCGATTCTACACTTGTCGAGCACACTCTTTTAGTTTTTTTACACCATAGTTGTATTTCTACATATGTGTATTTCTCTCTCTCTCTCCTATCTTTTTCTCCTCTTACCCCCCAACAGAAGAGAGTGAAGAGTAGATTCCTCCCTCCCATTCATCGAGCAATACTGCTAGTTTCGCTCCTGAGTAAAAATGAGCAATTCTGCGCTCTGTCATTCTCAATTGAATGAGAATCACACTCACTTCTTGACTTTCCCTAAAAAGCATAATTTGTTGGTGGTAACTTCCAAACAAAAGGGCTGGGCCGATATTGCCAATCATCGATCTAATTTTGATATATTTTTTAATTTTTCTTTTTTTAATATCACATTGTGTTTTCCTTGTTTTTTTTTTTTTTTTAATGATATCCTTTGATTTATTTGTTCCTCTACAATTTCCAAATTATTGCTCCATTAGTGGTTGTGTGTGTGTTACATTTTTTGTGTTCATCCACATTCCAAGCTTTTATCATGCATTTATAGTTTTGTTTCATACTTTTTGCCATAAACTCCGAAAGCAAAAAAAAAAAAACTATTTTTTATTGGCTTATTTGGCCCAGGATTTATGACCTCAAAATGATTTTATTGTATGCCCTAAAATAAATGGCCAAATGGCGCCAAAAATCTAACAGCAATTTCACTACCAACTATTTCTCGCTCGTTCGGCACTTAAATTCACAGACATGATTTGTCATGTTTTGTTGGGGATGTGAAGGAAGAAAGTTCAATGACTTGCCTTCAACAAAAAAAAAAAGGACAGAAACAGAGACAGACAAACAGGCATGACAGGAGAGGGAGTGAGTGAGAAAGAGAGTGAGTCAAAATGTGGCAGTAAGAAAAGTTTATTAACTAAACTTTTTTTTTGGAGCAGCCATCCTGCCAACATGACAACCAAATTGTTTAGTTTTTTTCTTTTTCAATTTAATGTGTATAGTTTAGTAACTAACAAATGTAGTATATGGAAAGTTCTGCGTTTCATCGTCTTGATGATGATGACAACAGTATTTTCATCATCACCATCAATGACTTATCACAGAAGAGAGGTCTCTTTCTATTTTGCCTTACATTTGTCTATGGCCAAGACGAAGACGTGAATGATGATGATAATGTGTCGCCACAACCACCATCGTCATCAGCAGTGAGTTATCACAGAAGAGAGTCTCTCTCTCTATTTTGCTTGTCATACCTTAGGTTTTGCCTTGCAGACGAAGACGACGTGTATGATGATGATGATAATGATTGTTCTGCTTCTCAGGCATTTGTAATCCGCTTTAAAAGTCATTGCATTTTTCTGTGTGAATTTCACTCTCCCCTTCCCCTTTCTTCACCATTAGTCATATGACAAGTGTCACTGGGAAAGCTTCATGCTGCATATATATCCTCCTTATGAATGAATAATTGCCTAACATGACTCCATATGAACTTTTACACATGAATTGTTGTCGTTGTTGAGGTTTTTTCTTCCCCTTCTTCTTCTTCAACTTCAGAAGAAGAAATTGGGAAAAATAGTAATATATGTAGTAGGTATCGGATTAAAATTCAAACATTACTAGTAACAAGTTTTTATGGGGGTTTCCATGTATAAGAATATATGGGACGTAATATATTCAGGGACGTAGTAATTAAAAAATGGGGTGGGGGAATCTTTCAATTTTTTCCTTATTGTATTAATATTAAAAAATATATTTTTTCCTACCGAAAATAAATTTTACTTATTTTCCCCCTCTTTCATTTTTTCTCATTGCAGAAGAAGAAATCGATGTCGTCTCCATCACTGATAAAAAACTACCCACAAATCCCTCGGACAAGGATCGTCGTGCCCTACAAACTAAGGTCGCTCATAAGTTCAATGCTGCCCGTATTGTCAAGACACCGAACGGTATACGTACCATACCGCCACGTCGTCGCGGTTCCTACGAATTGCCATACACACCGGCCAGCAATAGTCCCGTTAAATCGGTCAATAATTCACGCTTCCCCTCGCCGGCTGCCACACCCTATCAAAATCAATATACCACCAGCAGCAGCAGCAGCAGTAGCAGCAAATATGTGGCGGCACAACAGCAGCAACAACAAATTGTTGTGATGACAGATTCCAATATGCTGAGTACGGGTGATAAGTCGCGTAAACGTCTTTTGGCAAATGGCAGTGCAGGTACCATCATCACCGGTGCCTCCACAATAATCAATGGTGAGCTAATGAGCGGGACTGTGTTGCCACCCAGTAAAAAGCATCGCGGCAAGAAAACCAAACACATGGTCTCCACCATACATCTGCAGCCATCTGGGGCGGTTAGCCGCAGCATTAGTCTCGATGAATCGGCCGATACCATTGAGAAACGTAACTTGCACAATGACATGGAACGCCAGCGTAGAATCGGTTTGAAAAATCTCTTTGAGGCGCTGAAAAAGCAAATACCCAGCATAAAGGACAAGGAGCGGGCGCCGAAGGTGAATATTTTGCGTGAGGCCGCCAAACTGTGTGAGGCCCTGACCAAAGAGGATCAACAGCTGTGTGAATTGAAGGCCAAGCTCAAGGATGAGTTGAGACGGAAACAGGAGCTCTTGAATCAACTGCGGCAACTACAAAGAGATTGATAAAATCTAATGGTAAATTATGATGATGAGATGAAGGTGGTGAAGGCGCTGAAAATGCTATAGCCAACTGGTTGGTTACAGCAGCGGCAGCAGAACGAGATGGAGGAGAAATGTAACTTCTATTCGTGAAACAAAGAAAAAAAGTGGTCTGTGTGGTCCATTATTACAAGTGAGACGTCAGGTATCATAACCCCCACAAGGCTGTATAATTTTTTTTTGTAACAAAAAAATCTTTAATTTTTTTATTGTAAAAAAGAGAGTAGATGCTAACCCTTCATTGAGAGAGCGAGAGGAATCAAATCCCCAAACCTTGCGTATGGCATAACATGATTCAAAACAAATTGACGTTTAAAAGAAAGCCTTTTGTTGTGAGAGCTTAAAGTTTAGTCACCTATTTTGTTTTTTTAAAGATTCCTCAACAAAAAATTGAGGAAATCCCATGAAAAATTGTGTTATGTTTTTTTGAACATTGAAATTGAATTGAAATGTTTATTGAGTTTTCCTTTTTATTTCATTTTTTATTTTTCAAAACAAAAATTTAACCATATTTTTCGTAGATTTTAAGTTAATTGATTGATGAACGTATTTTTATTTTAATTTTTAGATTTTTTCCCTCTTTATATAAAAACAACAACAAAAAAACTATTTGATATTAGCCTGCTGCTTTTTAGAGAAAGCACATTTATTTTTCTCGAAATTGACATTGTAAATTTTTATTTTTATTTTTTGAAAAAAAAAGAGAACTATGTTTTAATTAATATTACAACACAACTTTTTCCTATTACTATATAACAACAACAACAACAAATTTATCTTTATATCATATATTGTTTAGAAATATTTTTTATTTTTGTGATAACCAACCACCAACAACAACAACAGCGATAGTAGAGTTGTTGTTTTAATTCTTTATTGTTTTTTAAAAAAAAAAAGAAAATCGCCCAGAAGATCTGTGAACTATAAAGAATATATTACTATTTAACATTTTTTATTATAAATAAAAAACCAGTTGAAAGAAACAACAAAAACAACAAATTAATGTCATGTCAAATTTGAAAAAAAAAAAACGACAAAGTTTATATGAATTAATCCCCCATGTGAAGTGTAAGAAACAGAATATTTTGAAAAAAAAATTAATGGAGTGTGGAAAATAATGCTGGGAATTTAGAAATTTCTGAGCGTAGCGTATAGAAATTGAAAACAAATTATTTTATTTTTTTTTAACACACAGAGATTTCCAAAAAATCTCTCTTTGACATCGAGTGTGTAACTTCATGATTGGCATCATTGGCTTTAAAAAAAAAAAAGAAAAGAAAAACTAAGTATATATATATTCAAACCTGAAACAAAAAACAAATAACCAAGCTTCCTATTTTCAAAAATTATTTTTTAATTAATATAACAAAATAAATCATAAAAATGTTAAGTTTATATTAAAAAAAAAATAAAACAAATATTTTTATGTTAACTTTTTTTAATTTTTTTTTTGTTTTGAATACTGATATTGATTTTGGTTCTACAAAAAAGCTTTACAATTTAAATAATTTTTAGAGAAGTTTGCTTAGCATCATTTAAAAATGAAAAAAAAAAAACAAAATATTTTTTTAAATAATTAATTTGGCAAATATCCCAGGAAAGCAAAAAAAATATGAAATGAATGAATGAAATTTTTGTACAAATTAAAAAAAAAACAAATACTGTGGATTCTAAAGAAAATAAAAATAAAACTTATTTACCAAAAAAAAAAAAAAAAAATGAAACAAACACACATACACACAAATTGAAACGAAACTGAACTTTCCGCCACAAACTGCAAAACACCACTTATGTCTCAAAATGATAACACTTAATTATGAAATGAAGGAAGAAAAATTGAAGCTTTATTTTTTTGTTTTTTTTTTTTTTTTTAATTTTGCTATTTTGAAAAGTAACAGAATTTTTTTTATTTACAATTTTTTTTCTTAATTTTTTGGTTTTTTGAAAATAATGCAAAGCAACTTTTTTTGTACAAATTATCATCATCATCATTTATATTTCATTTTTTAAGCTTCGTAAAGTCTATTCACCTCTTAAACAAGGAATAATTTTTGTAGTAATATATACTTGCTTATGTGGGTATGTATATATATAACCGATCTTTTTTTCCTACATCGAAAATAATTGATTTTAACACTTGATATATTACTTATATATACATAAAAAAAACTATACATAATTCTATATATACAAACACATATAAATATTTACAAAATATAAAAAAATAAAATAACCATTAAGGAAAACAAAAACTAGCTAAAGGTCTATCCGTTTGCCATTGTTGGGGGTATCCGATTTTTTTATTACTTAATGAGGATTAACGACAATGGCAAACCTGAACTTGATAGACTTTCAAACGAATAACTGTCGATGTTTTTTATTAAGGCTACTAAGATTATTTTTTTTATTAATTTTTTCATATGTAAGAGAAAAATATTATTATAGATAACAAAAAAAACTTCAAATATTGAAAGAAAACCACATAAAATACACTAGTTTTTAAACAGCAGACAAACAGAACCAAACTATCCCCCCTCCACCCCATTGTACCCCAAACTACTTACATTGACGAAATTTTATGAAAGAAAAAAAAACACAAACGCAATGATAAGGCCCACAAAGATTTCTACATACCCGTCCCAGAATTCCCTTCCATTATCCCCTACACAAAATAAAAAAAAGAAAAAAATAAAACCTATTTTCTCGAAATCTAAATACATAAAAACAACTTGTTGCATAATTATAATAAAACTATTGAACTTACTGTAATAATAATAATAATTGATAAATAAAAACTGAAAAGAATACGTAAAAACGGAAACAACAAAAAAAATTATTAATCGTTAAATTGTATGCAATTAAAAATTAGCATAAACAAAAATTTTGAATTATTTTCTATTTTATTTTTTCTTTTCCGAAAAGAAAAAAACAACAAAATTCTTTGAAAAGAAAAAAGCAAAAACTGTAAATATATAATTAGCATTTATTTTTTTATATATACAACAACTTATATATATATATACTTATATACATAAACAAAACAACTATACATATAAATACTATTTACCATATAAAAAACGTATTTTTTTTTTGAATTATTAAAAAAAGATATATAATTTTAAGTTGTAAGCAAAAAAAGTAATGATAATAATAATAACTTTAACCATATATAATAATAATAATAAACTATTTTATTTCAATGATTAATTTTCTTTTGAAAGGAATATAATAAAAACTGAATTTTTTGAAATTATAAAAAACAAAAAACACAAATTGTTATTTTTTTATTTCTTGTTCACCCCTTCAGTTTTCATTTGTTTTTCATAACAAATTGACAGAAAACACACACACAACACATTGGCATATTTAAAGGACACTGCTGTTTTGTGTTTGGGTTCAAAGTAATTGTGGGAATTTGGGGAAAGCAATTGAATGATATACATTGAATTTTTTGGGAAACGAAAATAAGTCAACCAGACATGAATATTTTTGGAGGATTCAGAAGAATTTTTTGATAGGTTGAAGAAATTCCACACTGTTTCTGTTAAAAAGAAGAAATTCTTGATGAGGTCTTTAACTAATACGAGGCTTGTTTAATAATTGTGAGTTATCAACATTAGGAATGAATATTTATTTGGAGGATTGAAAATAATTTTCTCTAGCTTGAAGACATTCTGTAGAGTTTTTGGGTAAAAAGAAGAAATTCTTGTTAAGGCCTTTAATAAATACGAGGCTTGTTTTATAATTGTGGGAAATCAATATCAGGAATGCATATTTTTGTAGAATTGAAAATAATTTACAGAGTCTACAGAGTTTTTGGTAAAATTAAGAAATTCTTGTTATGGTCTTTAACAAATACGAGGCTTGTTTAATAATTGTGGGAAATCAATATTGGGAATGAATATTTTTGGGAGGATTGGAAATAATTTTCTCTAGGCCAAAGAAATTCCACTGAGTTTTTGGCAAAAGGAAGAAATTCTTATTAAAGTCTTTAACAAATACGAGGCTTGTTTAATATTTGTGGGAAAATATTATTTTTATTTTTTTTGGATTGCGTGTATTCTATTCTAAGTCTATGTATGTCCGTCAGCTGCGGCCTTCCGAAGAAATTCTTGGCCTGTTTGAAAATGCTTGATAATTGTAGGAAATCAATATAATGAATGAATTTTCTTGGAGGATTGAAAATAAATTTTCTCTAGGTTAAAGACATTCTACAGAGTTTTTGGTAAAAAGAAGAAATTTTTGTTAAAGTCTTTAACAAAAATGTTATTATTATTATTATTGGATTGCGTGTATTCTATTCTGAGTCTATGTCTATCGGTCTGTTGTGGTCTTCCGAAGAAATTGAGATAGAGTGCTGAAATTTGGTACACATGCGTTTTGGGTCTGAACTAAGATTAAGTTCGAAGATGGGCTATATTGGCCAACTTTTTCGTATAGCTCCAATGTTTTTGTTGCAATACGTTTCTACTTCTATTCCGACGCTTAGATTTGTACTCAATTTCGACCTAAAATAATTCAATTAATTATTTTCAAAACAGAAGAGCCCCTATGGAAGAAGATAAAATATGTACAGGGTGAGATAAAAAACTGGAACAAAGTCAAACGCAATAATTTTAATTTTTTTTAATTTTTGAAAATTTAATGAAAACAAAAAATGTCGAAAATAGCATCTAGTTTTAGAAAAAGTTTAGATTTGTTCGAGTTGGTCACCTTTGGCATGAATTATGGCCAATGAAACCGACGAAGCGCTTGCTTGAGGTGTTCGGCACTTTGCTTTCCAAAATACGTGTCTGGAGTCCAAAGGAATGGTATCTGGAGATTTTGGTGGCCATTGTGCGCCGGAAATGAAGCGAGGAACCTCATTTTGTAACCATTCTTTGGTGGCGCATGCTGAGTCCTCTTGGAATGTCCAAGGTCTGCGACCAAAATGTTTGCGTGCCCAAGGCTTTAATAAACCCTCCAGAATATTTTTGCAATAATATTCGACATTTATTCTGATGCCACGGTCGATTAATACAAGCGGAGAGCAACCATCGGCTGTTATGGCGGCCCACACCATCACCATGGCCGTCGCTTGAGACCTGGTGGCCAACCGAAGATTGTCCAACTCCTGAACAACGAATGTTTTCTCATCGGAGAAAACCAAATTCGGCAGTTCACCACTTTCGGCCAAGCGAAGCAACTCTTTAGCTCTTTTGAGTCTAGTTTCTTTCTGTTGCGGTGTAAGTTCTTGCACTTTTTTGGAATTTCGATGACTTTAACCCGAGCTCATTTTTCAATATTTGGTGAATGGAATACTGCGATATGTTCAGTTCACGAGGCATTATTCGACCACTGCGACGCGGGTTTTGATCAAGTCGCTTCTTTACTTTTCGAACCATTTCTGCTGATTCTGGACAGTTCTCACCAAAATGATTTTGTACGCTTGTAAACAATATAATGAGCTGTCACTGGACGAGTGGCTTAGAAATCGTAATCTAGAAGAATAGAATCGCTCGAGCGTATTGTGCTCCCACTCGTATACTACGATTTCGTTTTTATACTCGCAGCAGTACTCCCTCTCGAGTCTCACCCCCTACTAGAGTGAGCGAGCATTTCGAAGATCTGATTTAAAGAGCAACTATTTTCGTTCTTAAGGAAACCAATGGCTGTTGTTCCATAGGAATGTATGATATACTTGAAGAAGGGAATATATATTCAGGTGTTCTATACTTAGAAGACCAGAAGATATTTTTGACATGAAAAACAGGGAAAAAGGGTACTTCCTAAATAGTATACCCTTGCCGAAAAAGGAATTAGTGCACAATGTTTTCTGTAAATATAATACCAGTAGTTCTTCAAAAGATCAACAGTTTATATGGGGCTTATACAAAATAGCATTCAATATATTAATTAATGGATATATATTATTAATGGATTATTATTCCATAAATATTGTGAAATGAAAAAAATATTATAGGGGCAAAAAAGGTCAAATATAAAATTTTGTAAAGAAA